AAACTTATAAAAACTCATTGAATGTTGTTTAAGTCAACAAATACCGTAAATACGCGTATTCTCCAAAATAATTCGTCCTTGACCATGACCATGTTGACGTCATGACGAAAGTTGAAGACCGACGACGTCCTCGATTTGCTCTGGTTCGTTTAAAGATTTAGGGAGAATATTGGATCTGTAGGATGTAAATATATGAATTTGATGCTGAAAAGGCAAGAGTCTGAGGTACGTTTCTTTTCCCTATCACATTACGATACCAACTGAGTTGATATGGAACGTCGAGAAAATGACAGAATGATCAGCGATTTTTTAAAAATTCACACTCGTGATCCGACAGCGACATAAACATAATATTCCCGTCTGTCAGTTTCTGTTTATCTCCTTTTCATTCATTCATTCATTTTTTATTATAAGTTTCTTGTAATCATAATTTGGCTAAAACGGACTAGAAGTATCTGTTTTCATTATTTTTACAACAGTCAAGAAAGTAGTTCTGGTTGAAAAATTCATCGATGTGTAAACTTTTTCTTGAATTTGTTCTCGTCCAATCAAAACACAAGGAATCGATAAATAAAATTAAGATTGGAATAATAGTTTTGTAGGCAAAAGCAGAAAAATAAACCTGTTGACATATCATTTTTCTGATGATTTTTTTTCCATTGCTTGGATATATGTCTATCTTCTGAAAGCAGCTTTTTCAAGATTAAGTCCATTTAGAGCCGATTATAGAACTACCTTAATATTAATAAATTTTCAAGCAATATTGTTCAAACTTTTAGAAAATTCATTTATTTAAAATAGAAATAGATGTTTTCTTTGAATAATGTACGTTCAATTTTCTTGTTACAGTCCTTTCAATAGCAGATCATCTAATTAAACGCACATTTCTAAGCCATACTTGTTTTTTTAGAGCATTTATCTGACACAAAACCCTTTGTTTCATTTATAAAATATTTTTATTGGAGTTTTACACATATTTGTGCAAAAATAAATGTTTATGTTGAGAAGATAAAAAAACTTTTATTGTTCATTCCCTCTTATGGCTTTGCTGCTTATTTAAGGAATCACTGTCTAGTTAGCATAGTATACCAGATCATCAACAATAGTGGGAAACATGGGATAATTTTCATAACGGGCGAAGCCCGTTATGCATAAATTATCCCATGTGTCCCACTATTCTTGATGTCCCTGGCATACTATACTAACTAGACAGTGATTCCTTATATTTCCATTTCATTGTGATATAAAATTATAGATTTAGACATTCAAAATGCAGACATAGATTTAAATTACACGAGGATTCCCTTCCCAATTTCAATAGTCCTTGCCCACTGACGTCAAACACAACGGTAGCCGCACGAGATTTTCATGCATATTTGGCCTCCTTGGCGTCAGACTCAGAGGCAGATGCGCACGAGATTTGCATGCATATTAGGCCTCCTTGGCTCCTGACCTATTGACCAGTGTAATTTACGTTCCGGTAGAATTATTAAGAAATTAACTCCGCTAACTTTCAAAGAGTTATCACAGAGAGAAATATTAGAAATGGAAATATTAATGAATTTAGGTCCTAAAAGCTAGTGACAAGATATTGTAATATTTTATATAGATATACTGTTGCTGGCCTGATACATCCTTTAATGTATTTGTATATGGACGATGGATTATAACGTACTACTCTTAGCGTGTGAGCACTATATATGCATGAATATTGGGAACCTTTCCATTTTCCCCTCCCGTGCGTAGCAGGCAGTTCTGATTCCTGTTGTTGCATGGTGTTTCGATATCGGATAGCAGGCAAGAAAAAGAAATCAGTGTGATAATTGTACAAAGATAAATACAGTTTGAGTACGAGTACCAGTGAAATTATTATTTGAGCTAGATAATCTATACAATTTGAGTTGTAACTTTTTTTTATGTAAAATCCGTATGAAGTACATTTTAATAAACAATCTATGATTTATAAATTCTGAAAATTGAATCCATTACTTAACCCATCATAAGAATTCCATTGATCTCTACATTAAACAGGTTGTAAGCATTAATATCATTATCAGGTGTATACATTAAAACTGAAGCACATTTATGGGTGGGGCGAAAGACCTTTCTCTGTAAGTACATTGTCACTCTTGTGGAATATTTTGAGCCCCACCTTCTGCTGCACTCTAAAATTTTATTTTTTTAAATTTATTTTGGCATTTGTAATAAATACTATATATACACATACAACCTCTTTATTATTTGACTTGCTGAAGAACAGAGCCGCATTTATGCTTCAAGTTTGTATGAGCCTCTGTTAAACATAAGAAATGTTAAACCTTCTTTCTTATATAGATTTTTTTACAGATTTTTTAAATGTTTATCAAAATGATTGATTTTGAGGCAGTCTCATTTAAAACGTATTCCATGCTTTGTTATATTTACACTGTATGTTCAGTATAATGTTACAAACAAGAAAAAGTAAGGTGAATGTAACTTACATTACATTGACTTTTATACAACAAGATGGAAAAAAAATTATATACCATCACAAAAAAGATTGAAACTGTATGTATTCCAGTGGCTGACTCTCATTTTTTTTTAATATATGCTTGTTTCGCGCCAAACGTCAGGAATGAAAACTTTGCGCCTTTTCTTTAGATTTTAAGGTTATAATAAATGGGTGTGAAAGCTTTCATGTAATTAAAAAAGGTATGTTATTCTAGCCTGAATTTCGAGCTTCTGAAAGTATAGTTATCACATTGTAGATATAACATATCGTATGTGGGCATGGAACACTAAAGCAGTGAGTTCGCTAAAATTTTCTATTTCTTTTCTTGATTTACTCCAAAAACACCATTAGTTATTTATTCATGAAAAAACTTGAATAGACTCTATTTTCGCATCCGCCATTAAAATACGAAATTGAGACTGAACTGACAAACACGAAAAAGATGACGAAGTCTAATGAAAGTCTCTCAGCGTGGAATCAATCTCTGACGTCACTGCCAGATAACGACGATACTATTATAAAACACTGGTCAACGAATTGCAATATACCGATAAAATCGTTGAAACGAGGGTACAGCAACTTTCCTTAAGGTTACATTCACGATGTCGAAACTTTGTTGATATTTTACGAGGGCCTTTAGAGGGCATACACTAAACTTTTTTTAACACCAACGACTGTTTCAGATCAAGTAATTTCGAATTCTTGAATGGATGCTTATACAAATATACCATGGCTAAGAGGGAAAAAACTTTAAATCGGTCGATTATTTAAGATTTAAAAGAAAGGGGTATTTATTCTAACATTACGATAAAATATGTGAAATATACACTGAAAGTAGGTGTGATTTCATTTAATCAATTGCTCCAAGATTTTTAAGTAAACAGAACTACATTCTATTACCGACAACTTTGACAACAGGTGGGATTAAAGTAGACATACAAAAAGCGATCACACGGACATGTCTGTATGAAAATTGAATGGAAAAAAAAAGTTGAGGTTTTTATATTATTTGATAATTTTTATTTTTAAACCTTGATTGACAAATTCCAATGTGGATCTGCTTACACAAAATTTAGATAGGTAATTAAGAAAATAAACTTTGAAAGTCAAAAAAATTTAGTTTATTAATCGTTCAATTTATTACTAAACTCTATGAACTGATGTAAAGTTAGGTTTAAATTTTTTATATCAAATATGTAAAAATTTTCATTTGAATTAGAGGTTTGTTTTATTTAAAAAAAATACTTTAAATCAAAATTATAACTGTTATCATGTATTATTCTTGGAAATGCCACATACGGTCCTTTTTTAGACAAAAATGCATTAACTTCTTAAAAAGGAATTGGATCAAATTTTGGAGATCATTAGTTTAGGCTAAAAAGAATATCATTCAAAACAAGAGGCTCAGGGGCCACAGCGCTCACCTGAGCACATCAGGCTTGAATTTACTTTCCCCCCAGGCATTCATTATTTGAACAAACTAGAATCTACACTACCTGAGGATGATTCCATATACATATCACTAATCATAGCTTTGAAGTACTTGAAAAGAAGACTTTAAAAGGTTTCCCTATATATTCCTATGTAAAACTTGGGTCGGCCTTTTTGGCCCCATCCTTGCCCCGGGGGGCATGATTTGAACAAACTTGAATCTACACTACCTGAGGATGATTCCACATGAGTTTCATCTTTCCTGGCCCAGTGGTTCTGGAGTAGAAGATTTTTAAAGATTTTTCCTATATATTCCTATGTAAAACTTGGGTCGGCCATTTTGGCCTCACTCTTGCCCCGGGGGGCATGATTTCAACAAACTTGAATCTACACTACCTGAGAATGATTCCACATGAGTTTCATCTTTCCTGGCCCAGTGGTTCTGGAGAAGAAGATTTTTAAAGATTTTTCTTATATATTCCTATGTAAAACTTGGGTCGGCCATTTTGGCCCCACCCTTGCCCCGGGGGGCATGATTTGAACAAACTTAAATCTACACTATCTGAGGATGATTCCACATGAGTTTTATCTTTCCTGGCCCAGTGGTTCTGGAGAAGAAGATTTTTTAAAATGCCATTAATTTTTAACAAATTCATGATTATCTCCTCTTGGAAAAGGGCGTGGCCCTTCATTTGAACAAACTTGAATTCCCTTCACCTAAGGATACTTTGTGCCAAGTTTGGTTGAAATTGGCCCAGTGGTTCTTGAGAAGAAGATGAAAATGTGAGAAGTTTACAACAACAACGACTACGACGACGACGACAACAACAACGACAGACAACGGACAAATTTTGATCAGAAAAGCTCACTTGAGCCTTCGGCTCAGGTGAGCTAATAATTGTTTGAAATAAAATTTATTCACAATGGCAAAGGTGACGATATATTTCATATATTACATAATCATGATGAATATTCAATTTCTCCTTTTCGCGAAAAAAAGAAATAATACATGTATACACTTTAAGATACAATCAACAGCTTTTTTATATTTAAACAGTTTTGTTTTGTTTCTAGGTTTGAATGCTCCCTTCTTTCTTTTTGTAATTAACATTAGCAAATAGTTACATGTATGGAAGTGTTTACATTGAAGTTATATGTTATATGCTCATATTGAAATACTGCAACATCATTCAGATGTAATTCTCATAAATGGATTGTTGACTTGTTTGATCCGGTTCTTCATATACTACACCATCTTCAACTCCGTCTTTGATCTGTGTTTTCAATTTTGAAGGTTGTGTGGATATTTCAATTTGATCCAGGTCCTCATATACGGCACTCTCTTCAGCTTCGTCTTTGATCTGTGTTTTCAATTTTGAAGGTTTTGTTGATTTTTCTCTTTCATCTAGGTCGTCATATGCATGCACTACACGTTCTTGAACTTTGATCTGTGTACTCAATTTTCTAGGAATCGGTGTAGTTATTTTCGCTTGTTGATTCTTTCCTTTGCACGTTTTCCACCTACAGCTCCTAAAATATATATTATATCTTTTAATTTAGAAAAAAAGTGAAAAAAATGAAAGTTGTGAAGATATTTGACATCATTAACTAGGATGGAGGTTAAAAGAAAGAGAATGTACAAAATCTCACCAGATGATTAAAACGACATTGAAGACAACACTTAAGCAAAGAGAAGATATCATTCCGTACACTAAGTAAAGGTTCCCGTCAGTTGTATCAGAATCTAATGATTCTTTTATCACTGCAATAATGTAAATTAAGCGTTAGTGTTTTTTTTTTTATCTTACATTAATATTTGCATACATATGAAGCCCATTACAGTACGAACTCAAGCATTTTAATTCATTTTTTATAGATTACATGTATGCTGGATTATTTGATCGATTTTGATAAGCCTTTCCTTATTTATAAAGAAGTAATTCATTGTGCAAAATCAACATAATGTAATCTATATCCTTAAAGCTTGTACTTTCAATAACTTTAAAAAACGATCTATCTACAGTGTTATAGAAAAAAAAAAAACATTCAAGGAAATACTTAATTGTGCAGATGATAAATTCAAGAATGTTATCTGCTACCCAATCTAAAAGTACATTATGATTTTTGTTTCAGGAAACAATTTAACCTTTTAAGAAAACTACATCTTTGTATTCAGAGTATTTTCAAGATCTAGAAAACAAAATTAAATTCAGTTTCTACATGTATATACAATATTTTTGCCAATAATGGATTGTGTTTACATACCGTTACATTTCCCTTCTATTGTATCACATCTCCTGACAAAGCTACAATTTGTACAGGTTTCTTCGCAGTTGTATCCATATCGTCTGTTTGGACACACTGGAAACAATAATCAAAATAATTCACAATGACATATACAGTAAAACATACTTATTAAGAATTGTCTTTCTTTGCCTTGTTATATACGCAGATGCAATGGGGTATTTTCGTTAGCATATCAATATGCTTAAACCATAATTGGTTATAAAAGCGTCAAATCATTATAACCGGTATTGCTTTAAACATATTGTACTGTATACATGTATGTAAAATATGTTTATCTTCTTTTTTTTCATTTTTTTGTGTTAAAGTGCAGGCAAGATCAATTCTATTTATTTTACTCTCAGGTTAATCTGACAAATCAACCTCATACATATAAACCCTAATTTCTGTGTATCGCAATGGTTGCAATACGTCGGATAACATAAAAATTACTGTAAAAATGTTAAAACCTACAGTCACATTTGGAATTTTATTTTAATTGCATTGTTAGTACGAGGGTACACATTAAAAATGCATTTACTTTGGTGTAAACAACGGAATACTATGTTCTGTTAAAATACATCGCTCAACGAGGAGGAGACTATGTCAAAAAAGGTTTACAGGGTGTGATGATCTTTCATCTTATTAAAAACTAAAACAAGTTTTGGTATAATGTAACTTACTACATGTATATATCTTTTTAATTTTAATCGATATCTGAATGAGTGGCCATTTAATGTTAAAGATATATTCCAGCACGACACACATACATGTATATTTATGCCTTTCAGTATTGCTGTAATTAATTTATTTTTAAAAAATTCAATCGTTTACTTCCCTTACTTATGCAGCAGCTTATCTTTGTCACCAGGAGTTTACAAATGACAAGAACCACAGGTGTGGCCACTCGGCAGGGGATGCTCACTAAATTTGCTTAACAATAATTTTACAATTATAATCTGCATAATTTATAAAAGGATTTTATGTATACGTCACCTTGTGTACAAGTGTCTCCTTGGTAACCCTTATTGCAGCCATTCAAGCATGTCCCATTTATGTGATGACATTGTTCATTTCTAAAGCAATTTTGAATTCCACATGACTGAGTACAGTTTTGTCCAAAACTTCCCACATCACATTCTATTAAAAATGTTAGATTGAAACTTAGATATTGCCTTTAAAATTTTATTTATTACATTTTTATATAAAGTCACAATGAAAAAAAAAAAATAACCATTTGTGCTCATTTAAAAAAAAAAATATATGTATGTTCTATAGGAAAGTTAATGTACATACATGTATCAAATGGTTATTGGTTTTTCATGATACAAAATAACAGAAATACAAAAAATGAGATATATCTATATATAAAAGTAATCGTCCAAGCAATGTTCTCAGAATTTTATCAATTTCAAATGATCCCTGCAGCAATAATCCATATTTAATATTAAAAAAAAATCATATTTGGTTATTTATTTGTCTTTCTGAAAAAATGACATCGAGTGTTTTATCTATTACATTTTTTTTTATACCAAATGCTTACGTTTGTCACATTTAAGGCCCTCCCACCCAGCCTGACATCCATCTTGACATTCCCCTGTCACTCTGTTACATCTACTATGGACTCCACAGTTAATGCTACACGTGTCCTCACAATTATACCCATAATATCCTTCAGGGCATTCTAAAAAAGGGAAGAAATACTTAAAATAAGAATAAATATTAACTATTTATTGATATATTAATGTGTTTTTGAAAGTTGATTGATGTGTTCATTCAACTGTAGGTGAGCTGTTGTAAAATTTTATAATGACAAACAGTATTTTTCAAAATCCAAAAGAAAGGTATATATTTTAAGAGTATATGGAGATACGAAATGAGAGGATTGTGGCAACGCACTTTGAAAAAATTACGAACTTTAAAAAAATATTAAGTGCGTTAAAATTGGGACAAATTAACGCACTTTAAAAAGAAGTTTTCAAAGTGCGTTAATTTTTTTTCAAAGTGCGTTTAGAGTGTACATCAACATTTTTTACCAAGGGGAAATTTAACGCACTTTGTAAAAAAATCTGTATAAAACAAAAATTCTAGACTAAGATTTTAGTAATTGAGAGAATTAATTCGTACTAATTGTATCTTTCGAAAAACTTTTTAATTTATATTTATTGATTTTATTTAACTGAGAACAAGAAGACGAATAGAAGGTTTCTCAGCCCAACTGTTTTTTTTTACACAGCCGACGGTAGCAAATTGACCGTGGACAACCCCCACCTAAAGGTAAGCCCAAATTTTCAATGTCTATATAATGTATTTCTTCGCAATAGATTTGTGTGTCTACTAAGCCCCCTTCCCGGTACCGATACCTATGCTACACCCAAATATATGTATTTGCATAATTACTGTGACGTTGAAAACTTTCAATGAAAAAATGCATGCAAACTGGAAAAAATTAAGTACAATAAAACATTTAAGAGAGAAGGAAGTTTCAAAGTATGGAAAAATCAAAATCGCTCATTTTTACATCCTGACGTGACCTTTACACCGATAAGTTATCCAACAGGTTCAATTATTTATCATACCTAAAATTTACAAGAATATCAACCATACACCTTTTTTCAAAGTGCGTTAAGATAGTCGATATTAATGCACTGTGAAAAAATATTTTTCTTCAAGTGCGTTGATTTGGTCCAAAATTTAACGCACTTTGAAATTTTTTTTCAAAGTGCGTAATTTTTTAAAGTGCGTTGTAACAGAGGATGTATGCTCTAATCAAATTGCCATGACATATCGATTCAACAGCGTTTAAGAGCACCATATTCAAATGAAATGGTGTAAACCACTGTGTTCAAACTCTTTAATCCAGTAAGAAAACAAGAATTGTGAAAATGAACATCACTGAATGGTGGAGAGTTAATCACGGGTCAAATCACAATTACTTAGGATAGGTAAAAATTCCTTCTTCATAATAACGTGAAGATAACGAACACTGATCGATATCACAAAAATCTAAAAATAATAAAAAAAAAATGACCAGGGAATAAAATATGGCCCCCTGGAAATTCCAGGCCCCAAGACCATATACTGAGAAGAGATTTAAGTCAAAGTTTCAAATTAGTGTAACTTTTAAAATAAATTTTAAAATGAAGCAGAATTTTCAAGGTATATTTGTATTCAAATATCTAACAAACTTGAAAGTTTTTAGCCATGTTCGTTTAATAATAATTGACATATTCAAAATCTTAATCTTGATTTAAGTCTATTCTTAGTTTAAGGTCCTGGGGCCAGAGGTAGGATCAGGGTCCGCCGTCATAAAACTTTGAGAATTCTCAAAAAAAAAATCTTAACTCAAGTCTTGAGATTTACTCAACTGAGAATTTAAGAATAAAACAAAAAGAATCTTTATTTTTCTCAACTTTTTTATGACGGCCGCTGAGTCTGAGAATTTTGGATTTGAGAACATTCTTAGACTTGAGAGCATTCCCAAACTTTAGTATGTTTTATGACAATGTGCCCATGTGCCTAGATTACACATGTCTTAGGCCCTATATACTGCTCAGGTTATACAAATCATTTCTTTTCTCTTTCATGTTAACATTGAAACCTTTGCTACATTTTTTTTATTTGAAAAACAATTCGTAAAATTTGTGTAGTTTTCTCAATTTTTTATCTTTAATTTTATATTAATTTTTCGTTTACAAAGTACATGTTTAAAACAACATTTTTAGAGAGATGTTTACCACTATATCAAACACAAATTATTTAATAGGTCTAAAATATTTTTCTACTTTTAGATCTGATCTTAGTCAATCTGTTTTCGCGACAATAATACATGAACCTATTGGTGTAGTTTGTGAATCGATTGATTGTATATTATGTAAAGTGCATCATAAAGTGCGCCGGTGGAGAGCTGCAAACCTTGTCCTATACTCGGCACTTGCGCAGTGATGGATCGTTTTTGTTGAGCCTTTACCAACTGCGCCACGCGGGCGACTATAGTTCGTGGATTTATCCAACACTTCATACCTGCTGTACACATCTCCCCTTCATAACCTCTGTCACACCCATCTGTACATGTGCCATTTAGGTGATGACACTGTTCTGACTTCAAACAGGAGCCACATGATTGACTGCAATTCTGTCCATACATCATACCGTCACATTCTACAACATATATAATATATACAATTATACAAGACGAAAAGTAGTATCTATAATCGTATGATGGAATGTTTATTTTAAAGTCCCCGTAAATTAGAAATTTAAATTAGCATTCTTTAAATACCACTTTCACAGGACGTTCCTTTCCATCCGTCGCTACATCCAAACTGACAGGCACCATTGAATCTGTTGCAGCCATTACAGTTTGGCAAACATTCCTCGTCACAATTTTCTCCATATTTACCTAAAGGACAAGCTGCCACAAAAATATAAACCGATAATTTAAATACTGTGATGGAAACGTGTAAAACAAAATTTGATCTTACAATAAACATAATACATAGAATAAACTAGAAGTACTGTGAGCAATGAGCTCACTAAATGATACCCCCGCCTCCCATGTGAATAAAATGGCAGTGTCCATGTTTTGCTCTGGAAAATCCAAAATATATGTCAGATCAAAAAGTAAAATTGGTTGTGCACAATGGCAATATGTAATAAAGATTCTGTGAAAGTTTCATTAAATTTCCTTTAGTGGTATAAGAGGAGTTGCGGATACATGTAAGAGATGGGTACTCCAAAGCGTAACAGATGGACGGACGGACGTACAGACGGACGGGCGGAAATACCGATTACTATATACCCTCCCGCTTCTCAAGCGGGAGGTATAATAATTCTATTTTCATGCCTTGGACTGTTTGAAAAACGTCATAAATATTCCACAAATGACTTTTAAAAAACCTACGTTCTACACACATATCTCCTTGAACACCTTCGTCACATCCGTTTGAACAACTTCCGTTCACGTGATTACATTGTTCTCCTTTGCTACAGTTTCCACAGGTAAGGTTACACTCAAAGCCATATTTATTATTATCACATTCTGAAGGAAAAAAAAACAAATAAATGGAATCCTTCTCTTGCTTTTTGAATATTCATTGAATACAATATCAGTGATGGACGACATGTAGAACATTAAATCTAATTAAATAGTCCACTAAGAGGAAAGCCGGTATGAAACATTCGATACAAAATTTTCACATTTAAAAAATGTCCATCTCTCTCTCTCTCTCTCTCTCTCTCTCTCTCTCTCTCTCTCTCTCTCTCTCTCTCTATGTACCTTCCTCACAATGCAGTCCTTTGTATCCGACAACACATCCAAGACAAGTCCCATCTTCAATGTTACAATGACCTTCCTGACAATTCCCTGGACATGGTAGAGTGCAGTTTTCTCCATATTCACCAGATTTACTACATCCTATTGAAAGAGTAATAGATAATTATACGTGTATATCAGTATTTTTTTATGCATGCAGTTCGCTATAAACTGGGTACCGAGTATATTTATTCAGACTTTTGTTTAATGTATGACTATAAGAAACACGTACAAACTTTTCTGTACAAATGTAAAATATTAATAACTTGCAGTTTAAAAATTGTGTAAAATAAAAATGATGTAAAATATTCAGCCTAAGTATTATTAAACCTTTTGATTAGAGACTTGAAAATTGGTTGAATAGTTTACTATAATATAAAAAGTTTCTACTATTATAATTCAAAGTCTTTATTTAAATTATCAACGTTAGTTAACGATGGATTTCAGAATGTAACAATGAATGTTTAATTGTCCAAATCATGCTTGCATTTTTACAAAAAAATTAAATATTAAGTGGAAGTATTACATAAATATTCACATATTGTTTTTTTTTACTTTACATAATGTAGATTTTGGAATATAATACAGATGAATATAGAGAAATTAAAGGTTTGCATGATAAGAAGATTCTATATAATTTTAAATATCTCCGAACCAAATCGAATAAGACTTTATTATTGCTAGATTTTCTTTTATTTCTTTATGGATTAAAACAAAACTTAATTATGGAAATGAATGTGTATGTGCAATATACAAAAACTTTTTAAATTTCATTAATGCTCATGGTTTTGTAAGAGGAAAAAATATATTAAGTCTCATTTTAGTTGACATATTCGGATTCCCTGACCAGATAAACATCGGACATTTTCCGCTATTATTAAATAAGATTACTCTGTGCAAATGGAATTAAACAACAACAACAACAACAACAAAAAAAAAAAAAAAAAAAAAAAAAAAAAAAAAAAAAAAAAAAAAAAAAAAAAAACGAAAACTGTTCATTTGAGCTTTCACTGAGAGTTTTTTAAATAGGTGCGGACTTACTAACCGTAAACCTCAAGTTCACAGAGTTCATTAAATGCGTATGTAGAATATCCTTCAGGGTAGGTAACTCCTGGGAGTCTTTCATTATAGTAGATGACATACCGTCCATGCCTTATGCATTCTATTGTAATGTTATCTGGAATTGTTTCAATGGTGTAGTGTGTGTCTTTAAAACACAGGAAACCTTCATCTTTGTTGGTTGTGTTTGATATGTAAACAGAAAAACCAAGGAAGCGGGAAGTGTAGCCATTGGATTTGCCTAATGAAATATATATTAAATCAATATGAATGTACGATGGCTTTTCATTTTTTTTTTTTGCAAACACATAATATTATAATTATATCATTATATTATAATAAATACTATAATATAATTGATTTTATACATCGAACGAAATGACATAAACAATTATTTTCTTACAACGTCCCTCCAGTTTGCAACGATCACTTTTCACCAACACGCTATCAAAAAGTTAGATATATATCTTTAACAAGTCTTGCCAAAAAAAAAGCAATAAGCAAAATTTAATATTCTTTCCTTTTTTTTGCCTTTTTGCCCTTTTTTGAGAGGGGGGGGGGGGGTAATACTGCAACCAAAAATAAAACTATTTACGTAAAAAAAAACCTTTGTCTCTGGAATTATATATTTGTTACGAGTAAATTTTCAATTGAATAATCTTGTCTTTTGAAAGAGTCTTTGTTAAGGATCTTATCTGAGTAGATATAAATACGACAACGCATTTATCATATCTGTGACAGCTAAATACTAAAGAATTTCGGGGTAAAGAAGATACAGTCTATAAGGGGCGAAACTGTATGCTTATTTTACTGCCTCAGAAATTTATAAACTTTAATGTTTAAAGAATGAAAGATATAAAGATAAAGTATTTTAACTCGAAAGTGCATATTAACACAATGCAAATCATTAGCAGAGCAAAGAGTTTGAACTGATTTTTTCAAGATTTCTTGAGAATTTTGGCTTTTTCTGTCAATATTACATGTATATGCGGAAAAAAAACTACAATATAAATAAATTTTGTTACAAACTAACACCAACGGCGAACAAATATTTTACAGTGAAATTTACATTGCGGTCTTCTTTTTAAGATATAAAACAATAACTCAGATACAAAATAATTCATTTAAAAGCTACTACATGTACCTTACGAAACTCTGATCAATTCAAATTTTATTCTAAAAAAATACATGAAGAAGAGGCAATACTTTTTTTTTTACTAACGAGCATTGTAACATAAAAATAGAATATGAACTTAGTTGAATTGATGATTTTAATTACAATACCCCACGGCAAATTTTCCGTCCTGTAGTAGATTGTTACATGGTGAATGCTGACAATTCGAGATAGATTCACCCACCAGGTAGCAGTTTGTTTTTGCCTTCCCGATATTACACATTGCCCTCCATTAAGAGACCTGTCCGAAAACTCTCCGTCCACTGCATTAAAAGACCTGATTCGCCAGTAATAGGCGCTATAGGAATTATCTTGCCATGTTGATTTATATAAAGCAAGATTCTCTATAAATAAAAATGAAACGAACTTTTTTAATCACTGAAAGATTCTCTAAGAGACAAAAAAAAAACTTTCTCAGAAATGGCACACATATACCAAGTTAAACATGTCAAAAATTAACTCTCATATTAATTATTGATTTACTAAAATATGTAGTCAGTATTTTTTCCCCTCATTTTCATATACAATGGCGCTGCGTTATTTATCCAGAGGCCATTTATCAAATTAACGCATCACATTCCGGGCGAAATTTTTGGGTATATATCTGTATATTTTTTGAAAATTGACTATCCAGAAAAATGACTTCAACCTTACTGGATTTTTCCAAGCAGTGTCGATTTGTCTGGTAATTTCCTGACAAGCACAGCTGTGTGCCAAATGTGAAGATAATTTTTTTTCTCTATATATTTCATTGAAGACAACATTTCGTTAAATCCCTGGCAAGTGGTCAATTTTTGTCCAATTTCATATTTTCATAAACCAGAAAGTAAGTAGTTATCTTTCTTTAAACGATCATTACATATTTTAATCTTTAGGGATGGTTCATCAATAAACATCAGTTCTAAAGTTCAAGATCATGGTTGACTATATAATTCATTGTGAGTATATGAAGTAAAAGTTAATTTCGCACTTAAATTACAATATTTAAACATTTAAAATGCTGAGCAGATAAAACTGTTGTGTTTATCAATTACAACAATTTCTTGCATTATCAAGAAATAAATGATACAATCTTTTTTCAAAAATGTTCTCATGCCAGTGATTTGACAAAATGTTGATTTTAATGAAATACAGTATGTGTTCTTTAAAGAGCGGGCTTCATATTTTAGCTGCTTTGGCGCAGGGAACAATGCGCTAATTCATGAATATCTCTAAGAATTAAATCATTTACATAATAAATCAATTACACTGAAGGGACATAATTATGCAGCGCTAATTTATGTTACGACCTAACTCCACACCCAGTGATTATGCTAAAATTTGAATACACCAGATTATTTTTACGCGTACATCTTATCTAAAAAAAATGAATTAGCTTCATTTTTGGCACACATTTGTTTATGGCGATATGTCGACATAACTATTTACAAATACATGGTATCATTGTGTTAATAATATTGTTGTTTTTCAATTCTTCATGTCTTCATTCTATATACATCATGATGAGAACAAAAAGGTGGCAAATCTAATTAAAAGTTAGTTGATAATACGTTTTCAAGGAAATGAGTGTGCTTTTTTTTATTTTACGAGAGAATACCCAGATTGGGACTTGAAGTGCAAAAGCTGAATACCATCGATTAAGACAAAACAAAAAGGAACGTGCTACGTCTCGTTGGCAAAGGAAGGCGAAAAAGTCTCCACACTTGTGTTAATCAGTCTCCACATTTGTATTAATATTTTTTACAGTGTCTTACTTTTCTTATCTTATAAATATGTTATCTGCTATTATCTTTTATTTTAATATAAATATGCATGTATTTCTTGGAACAAGTTTAAATAATTTATTTTTTTCAACTGACTTAGGAGGCGCAGGAATTCTTATAAAAGACACATCTATCAGATTCAGATTTGACGGTACATATGCACAATCTTGCATGTGTGAAGTTATAAATAATTGTTGTAAGAAATTCGGGAAAAGCGTATTGAAGAAGAAGGATATGATCTGTTAAATTGTCCCCATTGAAGAAGGTATCATTTCACATCTTCTAATTAATAAGAAAGAGTAGAAATAATTTAAAAATGTACAGTGTATTTTCCCTCATAGAATCAAATCCTCAATCTCTCATTGAATTTAATTCACTTACAGACAAAGTAATTGCAATAAATATTTTGTGACCAAATTAAACAATGACAGCTGCCCTCTTTCTCTCAGTCTTTCAGTTATAAAAGCATGTAAAACTAGTCCTATGAGAATAATGTAAAATAATATGTGCTTCATTGCAGCCAATCTACATAAGCTAGGACAAAGACTTAAAAGAAAGAAAAGGTGGGGTCAGCCAAAAAATATATTAAAATTTAGAAAAAACAGAGATTTAACTATAAAACTGAATTATTTTCGGGATATATTAGATTTAAGAAAGCTGGAAGGACAGAAAGACAATTTGCTTTTACCACTCTTCAAAAGTTGTAATTGAGACGGTGTGACTATAACTATGCCCTTGATCTAATTGCTGATGTCGCCCAACCCCCTTTTTCAAAAAAATATTTGGAAGTCTTTAATGATTTACAATTGAAAATACATTGTACAGAATCTTTCAGTGAATTACGAAGGAAGTAAAGATATTCTTTAGAAAGCCCCTTCCCGCGAACTCAATAACATTATTTCCTCATTTTATTTCTCGGAAATTTTAAAGACTTATATCGATAAAAACCAAATATTTTTAGATTTATTTCGAGATGGCTATATCGATAGTAGAAGGACAGAGAGCTTTACACTTCCGTAGCTCTCACTTGTCCATGATTAAAATATACACTTTAGATGATTTCTGATGATTTAAATTCTTTCTTTTTATAGTTCAATATGAAATCTGTTTTCCTTTGTCCTCGTTAAGCGATTTACATATTATCAACTTTACATGACATCATACAATATCAATACGATCAACATATGAGTAACCGCATATTACTGCAGGGAATAAAAATGGCAAAAACTAAGTAATCATGTTTGCCTTTTACCAAAATGTTATTCTTAATGACAAATACGACAATTCTTTAAATCGAATTCATAAATATATTTTGATATGTCAAAATTGGCTTCCGTAAAAATGCAATAGTACAATTCAGATATTTAAGTTACATACATTGATTAAAAAAGTAATATTCTCTTTAATAAAAGTTTGAAAATAGAAGCTAATAAAAAAAGTGAAAAAGGACAAGTCTAAATTTACAATGTTTGATTTTTTTCTGTTAGTTTAGAGTAACAGTTTTTGATTCATGTTTGTTCATGCTTGTTGAAACATAATGATATAAAATATCAATAAAAATTCTGTATGTTTTGTAACTTCCTTCGATTTAAGGGAGGGATAGGAAAACAAATCTACAAATAATCGGAATACAAATTGACTAAAAATTCATTTAAAACCGAGATTTTTTAAAAAGAAGAGAAAATTATCTTACCATAGGCATCTACTATATTTCCAATCAATATTAATTCGCTAAGAAAATAAAAGAACATAGCTCGGCTGTTCATGTAATGTGATTAGGAATAACTTAAACAACAGGAAGCAAAATCAAGACATTTATACCATTTTCCTTAATGAATGAGGCAGTCAGGTTAAAAAAATCGTAGTTGTTTCCGAATTCATGTGAGACCTAAAGTTCACAATGTACTTTCATAAGGGAAAAAACAAAAAGAAAGAAAAAATATCTAAAGAGAGGTACATTCCATTATTATAGTAGTAACGCATTTTTTTGATTGTAAACAATTTAGAATTTTTTTTGAATATTTTTTCTTTTCATTCCGTTTATTAGATTTTCTCTTTCCCCCTATCATGTAAAGGGGCATACGGCTAGTGTGACCGGTCGGCAGGGGATGTCCACTCCTCCATGACACCTGATCCCACTTCTAATGTTTTTGAGGCCCATGTTGCCTTGCACCTATTTTGTATTGCTTTATGGACTTTTGATCTTGAATACTCTTCGTTATCTCCACATGAATCAGTTGTTTAATAGATAGAGGATATTGAATGTATTCTACTTACAGAAATATATGCCATTGTTGTACAAAGATAAATCCATGTTTATTAAGAGTGTTAAATAATGTTTCAATGCTGTGTAGATGGATATTTTAGTAACGCGTATTATGTAAAGTCCATATGAGGTACATTTTTATCAACAACCTATGAGTTATATACATTCTGAAAATTGAATCCATTAATTTCCCATCTTTAGATTTCCATTTATGTCTTCTAATGCTAGGCAAGCTCACGACAGCTTGCTTTTGCTAAATTTGAACAAATCAGATAAAACACACCTATAGAGATGAACTATGTCGTTTATTTAACCAACGTTGTAAATGTAAACAATTTAACATACTACATGTAAAAGGGGATCAGAATCACAGGCTTTAGTTGTTAGTTACTTAAAATATAGTAATGTACGATCCCCCGAAAAACGACTAGAAAGAGTACATATAAAACAAGACTAACAAAACATCACAGAAAAGTTAGCAAAAAGATGTTACATCAAGGTTCGTATGAACCTCATTAAAACATAATAATAAATGTTAGATCTTCTTTCGGTAAGATTTGTATAGGATCGTATTTTTAAAATGTACAACAAATGGATGATTTTGAGGCAGTCTAACAAATAAAATGGGTACATCCCACTAATTATTTTTAGAATCGGTAGGAGAAGAAAGTAGTGCAGAAAAAATTCCAAGTTCCTTAATTTGTAGACTTGCATAAAAAAAATTGGGCAGATGTACTAAAAGTTTAAGTTTTCAAAAAAAAAAGAAATCATTGAAGTGGGGGATGGGGTGGGGGTGAGGAAATTTATATATTAAATAGGTGATCAGAATGTGAAAGTATTTAGCTATAACTAATCTGTACATGTACTGCTATATACATTTTGCAGCTCATATACATTTTATTTTTTTATTTAAGAATTTCAGATTAATTAGATCTACATCTTTGTTTTGTAAATTATGCATTATTAAGACTACACGGATATAAGAATTGAAATTTCATGAATATTTGACAGTCAAAATTATGCGATTTGTCAGGAAATTCAAAATTTTGTCTCATTTTCCTACAAATTACAAAATGGTTACCATGGAAACAAAACAACTTTAGTAGATTATTTATTTAATCTTCAAAACCACATATTTTCATTTTTTAAAAGTTAAAAATAGTATATAAGCACTGATTTTGTCTTAAATAAAAAGTACGGGAAAAGTAATGATACACATGTATTGAGGTATCCATTATTATGATGTCATTGTGACATCATAGATGAGTAAATTTGCATTGGTATAAAATTCCATTGAAACAAATGATTCTATATG